CTTGAAAATAGAACAGAAAGGAAAGTTTACAGCTCACTGACGGATAAAGATTATTTGTAGCACAAACGATTTAAAATGATTTGTTTCAGTCTTTTTGTGCGGAACTTCCCCAAACTGGAAGTGCCTGCCATACATTAAAATGCAGTAGACTTGTTAGAAAAATGGCCAGCTAATGAATCTGAAGTCTTGCACATTCACAGAAATAGCTTACTTCTGCGTTGCAAAATTGAGGTGAGTTGAATCATCAGTGACTCTTTCCTTTCCTCCTCATTAAGCAATACAAAGTTGAGAAATCGTTGGCGTTCTCCTCACGAGGGGAGTATTTGTGGTGTTTTGTCGTGTCTTCCCCACTGGGGGGCTGAGTGTTGGTTTGTGTGCCGGTTGCTTGTGATGAATGAGCTGAGGGTGTGTTTTCATTAGGCTGTTTAATTTGGAGCACAATTAGACTTCATCCTCTTTTAGAAGACAAAGCAGATTCTAAAGTTGTTAATTAAAAGGCCGAGTCACAGGCAGTGAAGATGGATGTGAACACAGGGAATCCTCTCCAACAACAACACTGTGCACCAAAGTCAATTCTTCCTTGTCTAACTAGCTGCTCTCCTCTCCCTATCAAAACTAGTTGGTAATCACTAGTTCCACGGTTTGTCTTCTTTATTTGTTTGTTTCATTTACTTTCCTTTCTTCTCCTCTAATGTCTTTTTGACTTGTTTTGTGTTGTTTCCTTTTATCTCATCTCCACTGCTCTTCTCATTTCCTCTGCATTACTTTTGTCTTTTCTCATTTAATTTAATTTTGTCTTGAATCAGCTCTTTATGTGCTCTCTTCTCATTTTATCTGACCTCCTTTCCTCTCCGCATCCAAAACTAGTTAGTAATCATTATCTAGTTCCTATTGTTTTGTCTCCTCTGCTCGATATATACTCTCATCTTGTCTCTCCTGTTGTTTTCTATCTTATTTTAGTATCTCGTCTCATCTCATCTCAAATTATTGCTCTTATCATCTCATTTCATC